GCCCCCCCCCCTCATTCTCCCCCCACTCTCTTTCCTTCCTTGAGTCCACAGCTGAGCACCCACCAGGTCTGCCCACTTGCTAGGTGACTCTGACATCTTTTTTCTCCTTTTAAAGATGAAAACATCCCCAGGGGCCAATTTGTACACGCTCCCCCAGGGGATTGAAAAGGTGAAAAGGACAAAGGTGGTTTGTGTGTCAGTGTGTGTGTGTGTGTGTGTGTGTGTGTGTGTGATCTTTATTTACCAAGCAAAATCAAATTGCTGGACTGGGAAGGCTGCTGCCTGGCCCCCTGGCTGGTGTCTGGAACAGGAAGTAGCTCAGTGCTTTGCCCTTTAGACCCCAGGGCAGTCAGGGAGGGCCCATCGGACACCACCCTCCCAATCAGGGTCCTTTTTGAGGCCGGGAGGGGCCTGGACCTCGACTGCAGGCCGGCCCACTGCCAACCGGCCTCCACCTGAGGTCCCCTCCCTCCCTTCTCGCCTCTGTTTTGACCCACCCTTCCGGAATTAACCTTATTTTGGCTTCTTGCCGGGAGGAAGGCCAAGCCTGCAATTACTCACTGCTGCCTCCCTGGAGGCATCGCATTCACTCAGTGTGGGTGGGGATGGGGCTCCTGGGACCCTCTCCCCCTTGGGCTCAAGTCTGCAGCACTGAGTTCCACGTATTCCCCAGCTACCCTCCGACTTCCCCCACGTGTCCAGATGCTGTCTTATAAACAGGCACTGGCATCTGCAAAGTGCCGTCATGTTGTTTGGGATAAGGCATTCCCTCCCCAGAGGGGTGGGTGTGAAGCTGGTCAGACACGGAGGCTTGGAGAAGGGGCGTGCCCTGGGACCACCAAAGCTTTCCTTTCCACCCGGTGGGGGCGCTTCCCTCCCCCTCCTGGAGATGAGGCCACGGAGGGGGGAGTGTGCGAGGGGGGCCCTTGGGGACCTAACAGTCAGCAGCACCTCTGTGTCTCCCAGGACCATCTGGGTGTCCCCAGTTCCCTTGCCTCCTTCCTTACGCCTCAAGCTTGTCCCTCTTTCTCATGACTCTCTCGGGACATCCGTGGGAGGAAGGGGCCTACGCATCCTCTACCCTCGAGTGGTCCCCCTGAGATGAAAGCCAGCCCTGTTCCTGAAAACTGGAGCCAGGGTCCAGCCCCAGGGCCACGGTTCCCACCCACGGACACGGCTTCTGGTGAGACCCGACAGGTGGCGAGTGGGCTTGACCTCAACACCCTAAACTGAATCTAGGCCCAGAGGGTCACACACAGCCAGGCACACATGCACACACGCACACACGTTCGGATTGTCCTGGATTATTACCCTAGCGCACCTGGCCCCTGCTCCTGGTGCATGGTGACTTCCCCTCCTTGCAGTTTACTAGTAAATCATCTTAGGGAGACAGTTAACAGAAATCCAATTAAGCGCCATTTGTCAACAACACCCAAGGACAGGCAAATGAAGAGAACAAAGCTCATGTTGGTACATCAGCATAAAGCTGATGAATATTCTATTGCTCCATCCCTAAGACCTCCCCTAAACACCCAGACTTCAAACCCCCGAAAATGAAGGTCCCAGTGCACTCTCCCTCCAGGGAGCAAGCCCCTGCCATTCCCTTCCCCTGCTCCTCTCCTTCCCCCACAGGCCCGTATCCCCCAACCTCGAAGGGACCCCATGAGATTGCACCCAGGGGAGCAGTGGGCAGCAGCAGCTCATCCTGGCCTAACCCCCGACCCTGTCTCCAAGGCCCCTTTTCTCCGACTCCCCAGTGAGCCAGAGCAGCCCAGCCAGCTATATTTTTGCTGTGGTCAATACATTCTTGCTTGCTTTTTTACACTTTGTCTCTTGAGTGAAGTTTTTCCCTCAAAAAGACAAGGACCGCCCTGGCTGGTTTGACAGTGGATAGAGCGTCAGCCTGTGGACTGAAGGGTCCCAGGTTCGATTCTGGTCAAGGGCACATGCCTGGGTTTCGGGCTCCACCCCCAGTGGGGGGTGTGCAGGAGGCAGCTGATCAGTGATTCTCTCTCTCCCTCTCCCATGATCTCTGAAATCAATAAAAATATTTAAAAAAAGAAAAGAAGACAAGGACCAAAGTTTCCTCGTCTCGCTGGAAACAGTATCAGTAGGGCCTCCTTCCATTGTCATGGCAACTCAAAATGTTTCCAGATGTGGCTGCTGGGTGTGGTGTGTGTGTGTGTGTGTGTGATGTCAGACTCCTCACCTGCCTTGACTGTCCTGCCTCTACACATGTTTAGCTACAAAATAATATTGTGTATGTTGATGTGTTTTCCCAAATTTGCCTTGAGTCCTGGTGGTAGCGGTAACTGGCAGGTTCCAGCATCTTGGGGAGGGCTCAGTGGGGTCAGCAGGACCACCAGCCCGGGCCAAAGAGTACTGTCTGCCCAGAGGGAGGGGTGGTGGCTCCTCAGCCCCCGGTGGGGGGCCTGCTGGGCAGTAGCATCAGCAGAGCCCTAGTGGGTGGAGACGGGCCGTCCTTCTCTTCCTTCCTGGTTCCCAGGGGTGGGCAGGGGCAGCAGCAGGGGCCCTGGGAGCCAGAGGGCGTGGGGATTCCGGGATTAACTGGGTGTGGATCAGGGTGTGAGCTCTGAGACCCAAGGCCCCTGTGGGCTGGGAGGAGAAACCAGAGGCTAAAGTAGGTCTCCCCACCCACCTCCTGCCCTCAGGTCCCACCCAGCCTGGCTCTGGGCCAGCAGCTGCCAGAATGGTGACTCAGAGCTGCTGAGCTGAGGAGAGAAACAGGGTGCAGTGTGGGGGAGACCCCCCCCCTACGCATCCTCAGCTTTCCCAGCATCCCCATCAGCACCAGGACCCTCGAGGCACCTCTCAGACCTGCCCCATGGGTTCTCCTTCCTCCTCCTCCTGTCGCCGACCCTCTCCCTCCAGTGGCTTTTGTTTTTCTTGGCACTCACTCGGGCAGGAAGTCTAGGTCCTGGGATGACTTGGAGGTTGCAATATATTTAGGCCAAGCCAAGAGTGTGTGAGTGGTTCCGAGGAGCGGCCCCAGCACTGGGTTGGCGGCCCGAGGAGTGAGGCCCTGAGCCAGCGTGGGGAGGCTCCTACCTTCTCCCTCTTAAAGACAGAGCGCTCCACTTCCCCAGGAGCCCAGGGAGCTGGAGAAGAGCGGGAAGAACCGGGGAAAGCTCTAGAAGGGAAGGCATGCCCTCCCTGCACAGTGCCAGATGCATTTATGTTTTTACGACGAAGATCATTTATAGCCGGAAACCTGAGGCCCAGAGAGGCCGAGCGGGAGGTTGCTCAGGAGAGGAGCGAAGGTGCCAGGGTTTGCCTTCTGGCCTGGCTGGCTGCAGAGCCGGCGTGCTGCTGTCATATTCGGGTGCATTCATTCATTCATTCATTCCCGCAGCGCTACGTGCGCGGCTTAGCCTGGGTCAGGCGGGCATGAGACCTGCAGAAAAGCAAGAGACAAACTGGACCCCTCCCCCTTCTCCTACCTGGCCCCTCATCCTCAGGCCTGGAAGATCCCTCCAAGGTCGGCCTCCCCAGGTGCTCTGAGCTGCTCCTGCACAGCACAGGTCCCAGCTGTCATCCGTCCTTTGCCTGCGTTTTCTTTTTGGTTTGTTGATGTAGTTGTTACCGTGCTGTCTCCTCCATCTGACGGAGCCCACGAGGATGTGAACGGTGCCGGCGCCGGGCATCCCCAGCTCCTGGACCTGGGCCTGGAACAGCTGCTCCGTGTACACTTGAAGGAGCAGCAGAAAGTGCTGGCGCTGGCGGGTGAAAGGAGTGCGGGGAGAGTGGGTGGACGGAGGCAGGAGGTGGGCGCCTGAGCGGGCAGCCGGGCTGGCTGAGTGGGAGCTGCAGTTCAGCTGATGGAGGAGCAGGGGGCGTGGAAGTGGAGGCAGGTGAGGGGCAGCTAAAGGACAGGTGCGTGATGTTACTGCATCTGCCACCTTCCTGCACCGGCGCTCAGAACCCGGGAAGGCCAGCCCGCCGGAGCCCCGTGTCCTCCATGAGGGTCACTGCCCGGGGCAGGCTTGATGCGCCTCAGCTGAGGGCGTCCCACGCAATTTGCAATTTCCAGGGCCTGGCTCCGGCCAAGGAGAGAGGCCTTTACAAAGTCAGACTTGGCTTCCCCCCAGCTGGCTGGCCTCCTTATGTCTGATTTGAAATGCCGGCTTGTCACAGTGTCTGCGTGCAAGTGCACGCCTGCTCCTCTCCGCGGGGGAGTGTTTGCAGTGCTGGGCAGTGTGGGGGCGGCATCTCTCAGCGAGCCAGCGGCCCTTGCCCACCCCTGCGCCTGCTCCCCGCTTCTTTTTATATCTCACATTTACAGAAAGCCGGCACATCTGAGCCTGGGCCTGGCAGGGCAGGCGGCTGGAGGCTGCAACGGAAGGGGAAAGCAGAGAGGCGGGAGGGGGTGGTGTGCGAACCCCATCTGGAGGGAGGCTGGCCAGGTCAGGGGCGGCGGCTGGCTCCCTTCCAGCAGCCCTGCAGCCTCAGATGGCGCTGAGCTCTATTTAAAGGCGCTTTCTCCGCCTCCACGCTGGGGTCCTCACGTGGATGAATGAATCAGAGGGCTGCCTGGTGTGGCCCCAAGGCCTGGCTCAGTCTGCCCCAAGGAGCTGGAAACATTTCCCCAAAAAAGCAATCCTGTGGAAGCTCCATCTGGGTTCCTGTTGACCTGGGCCACCTTCCCCCACCCAGATCCGGCGCTCTGTACCAGCCTAGGAGGGTGACCCCTGACCCAGGGTGCCCACAGGCAGCTGAGAGCCAGCGGTGGCTCCTGGGCAAGCGTGGTGGCCTCTGTAGCAGCCACCTCCTCCTGGAGGCAAAGGTCAGGTCACGTTCTCTGCTTTTATAGCATCAGGAGCTGCTGTGGTTGGGCTGTGCACACACCCAGTGCCAGATAGCCCCAGGGGTCCGCGTACACACATTCTCCCTATCTGACTCCAAGCTTATTGATTAGGAGCCTGAGGTCCCTGGTCGAGACAAGTGTTCGTCCATTCGGGTTGCTATCACAGAATACCACCGACTGGGTGGCTGATAAACAACAGACATTTATTCCGCACAGTTCTGGAGGCCGGAAGTCCAATATTAAGCAGTTGGCAGGTTTGGTGTCTGGTAAGACCATTTTTCTGTGTCCTCGCATGGTGGAAGGGATGAGGGAGCTCTCTGGGTCTCTCTCTCTTTTTTTTCTGTTAATCCTCACATGAGGATCTTTTCTACATTGGTTTTTAGAGAGAATCGGAAGAAGGGAGGGAGGGAGAGAGAAACATCTATGTGAGAGAGACACATTAATTGGTTGCCTCCTGCACCCAGGCACATACCCTTGACCGGAAATTGAACGCACAACCCTTCGGTGCTTAGCTGATGCTCTAACCACTGAGAAACACAGGCCAGGGCTGGGTCTCTTTTTTTAAATATATATATATTTTTATTGATTTCAGAGAGGAAGGGAGAGGGACAGAGAGATACAAACATCAATGATGAGAGAGAATCATTGATTGGCTGCCTCCTGCACACCCCACATAGGATCAAGCCCTCAGCCCGAGCATACACCCTGACCGGGAATCGAACTGTGACCTCCTGGTTCATAGGTCGATGCTCAACCACTGAACACGCTGGCGGGCTGGGTCTTTTATCAGGGCACTAATCCCATTCACGAGGGCTCCACCCTTATGACCTAATCACTTCCCAAATACCATCACATTGGGGGTTGGGTGTTAAGATATGATGGGGGAGGGGAGGCAGACATTCAGTCCATAACAGGATGTATGTGTCTGTAGGTAAACAGAACTGGAGAGTGAGGTGTGAGGCTAGACCTGTGCGGCCCAGGATGGTCGCCATGAGCCACAAGCTCTCGAAGTGCAGCTGGTCCAAATTGAGATGTGCTCTGAGTGAAAAATACACATTGGGTTTCAAAGACTTTAGTAAGGAAAAGAGAACGTAAAGGATTGCAATATTGTTCATATTGGTTACATGTTGACATGATTATATGTTGGCTATGTTGTGTGAAACAAATGTATTACTCAACGTAATTTTATCTTCCTCAAAAGCTAAACATCGAGTTATCATAGAACCCGGCAATCCCACCTCTAGGCTTCGACCCCAAAAGAATTGAAAACAGGTGTGCAAACAGGAACATGGACAGGCATATACACAGCAGCGCTATTCGCAGTCACCAAGAGGTGGAAACAGCCCAGATGTCCATCAACAGATGAATGAATAGGCAGAATGCGGTCCATCCACTCGGTGGAATATTATTCGCCTGTAAAAAGGAAGGAAGTCCTGCTACCTGTTACAATGTGGATGAACCATGGAAACGTTATGCTGGCCCTGGCCGGTTTGGCTCAGTGGATAGAGCATCGCGGCCTGCGGACTGGGCAGGGTTCGATTCCGATCAAGGGCACATGCCGGGTTGTGGGTTCGATTCCCAGTAGGGGGCGTGCAGGATATTTTTCCATTGATTTTTAGGGAGAGTGGAAGAGAGAGAAAGAGAGAAAAATCTATGTGAGAGAATCATCAAGTGGTTGCCTCCTGCATGTGCCCCGACCAGGGCCCAGCTGGGGAGGAGCCTGCAACCAAGGTACGTATTCTGGGACCCTTTAGTCCACAGGTCGACACTATAGCCACCGAGCCAAACTGGCTAGGGCTCAACTCACTTTAAATGGCTGTTAAACATGGCTGGACTAGACCACTGTGCCTCCAGGGGGATCAGATCACGCCAGCATTCTCTGCCCAGCAGGTGAAAACCCGCAGGGCCAGCTGACCCAGAGCAGGGCTCAGGTGGGGAGAAGAGGTCCAGTTATCCACCCCTGCCCACCAGCGGGCTTTTGATTCATTTTTCAGGTCATGGGGCAAGAGGACCTCACTCTCCCTGACCAGAGAGAGGGGGGTGGAGGAGGGAGACTTGTGCAATACTTTGAACCACCTTGAACTTTTCACCACCTGAAGTTCAAAGACCTGAGGGGCATGCCCTCACCCTCCTGGAGGCAACAGGGCGGACTAAACCAATGGGCTGCTGATTCAAGGTCCTTTACCCCCGTAGACCTGGGGCAAGACCTTGGGCAAATGATGAAAACTTTCTGGCCCTTAGTTTTCTGATCTGAGTGTCTCCCTCGCCCTGGCCAGTGTGGCTCAGTTGGTTGGGTGTTGTCCCATGCACGGAAAAGTTGCGGGTTTGATTCCCATGATCCCAGGTAGGGGGCGTGCAAGAGGCAGCCCATCGATGTTTCAATGTTTCTCTCTCTCTCTCTCAAATAAATAAATAATATAAATAAATCAATAAAAAATCTTTCAAATAAGAGAACGCATCTCCCTCATCTTCTGTTTCTCCCAGCAGCCCCTCCTCTCATCGTGCTCCCAGAACTCCTCTGCTGGCCTGCTCTCCCCTCTGGGCACTTCCTGAGAAAAGGCGGAGGCAGAAATGCAGAGGCTCCTAGGCTCCTCCTGAGTCATCTACTTCAGAGTCGTCGTTAAAAAGTTATTTCGATAGGCAGGACATTTACACCCGAGATGCCCAGGCTGATCCTGCTCTGTCCCTGGAGCAGCGAGTAAGGGTGCTCTCACGCCCCCCACTGCCTCTCTCCTCCCCTCGCAGCGCTGCGCTGGTTGGTCCCAGACCCGTTAGTTACAGCGATCATGCCTTTGGCTATTCACCGTCTGGCCTCTAGGTGGCGCTGCCCGTCCGGTGCACCTTGCCTGCCCTGCCTGTGCAACCTCAGCTCAACCAGCTGTACTTCTGGGTACTCCTTGGGGCCAGGAGCTGGGACACAACCTTGAAGGAGGCCCGGCCCTTGGCTTTGGGGGAGGGGTTCGAGTCAAATTTAGTTGTGCAATTGATCGATTATTATAATGTGATCTTTGATAGGCCAGGACGATCTGTGGCTCAGGAACTGCTTTATTTTTTGTTTTTGTTTTGTTTACTGATTTTGAGAGAGAGAGAGAGTTGTTGTTCCACTTATTTAAGCCTTCATTGGTTGACTCTTGTATGTGTCCTGATTGGTGTGGAGGGATCAAACCTGAAACCTTGGCATGTTAGTGTTGGGGCGATGCTATAACCAACTTAGCTACCCAGCCAGGACCTGTCTGTACACCTTTAAAAACTGTTTCCAAATTACAAAAGCCGCCCGACCAGTGTGACTCAGTGGTTGAGCATGGACCTATGAACCAGGAGGTCACGGTTCCATTCCCAGTCAGGGCACATGCCTGGGTTGCGGGCTCGATCCCCAGTGTAAGGGTATACAAGAAGCAGCCAATCAATGATTCTCTCTCATCATTGGTGTTTCTATCTCTCTATACTCTCCATTCCTTTCTGAAATCAATAAAAATCTTTAAAAATAAAAACACAAATTACAAAAGCCATGGTGTGTTTTGGAGACCTAACAGTGCCTTCCCAGCCCTCTCTGGATGTAACTGCCGCCCGCAGGGGCGGTGTATTCTCCTTTCAGATCATTTTCAGTGGCGCTCAGATGGCCAGGCCTTTCTCACATGTAAGAGCTGGAGCAGGTGGGCGAGGGAGAAGGTGGTGGGGGAGAGCTGGGCCTGGGCAGAACAGTGTGGGAAGCTGGGAATGGGCCGAAGCGCCATAGCTTGCAGGGCCTGAGGTGGTGGCTGTGACAGGGGGACCATAGAGGGGCACGGTGCGCTGTTCTGGGCAAGGACAGGAGGCTAGATGGAGCGGGGTGTCACACTCATCGGAGGGGGCTGTCAGGGCAGATCCAGGGCAGGGGTGGATTGTTACAGGACAGGGACCTGGCCCTGAGTGGATCTGGCCAGGGCCAGCTGGTGGTGTGTAGGTTCTCGACTTCATGTAGGAAAGATTTCACACCAGTCCAGGTGACAAGAGGGTACATTTATTAAAGCTGAGGACAGTGCCCTGGTCGGGTGGCTCAGTGGGTTGGAGCATTGTCCTGTACACCGAAAGGTTATGGGTTTGATTCCCAGTCAGGGCATATACCTAGGCTATGGGTTTGATCCCAGTCAGGACGTGTAGGGGAGGCAACCGATCTCACATTCATCTCTCTCTCTCTCTCTCTCCCTTCCTCTCTCTATAAAATCAATTAAAAAAACAAAAACCCACACATATCCTTGGGTGAGGATTTAAAAAAAAAGCTGGGGACAGTGAAACAAGGAAGGGCTTAGCGTAAAGGAAGCAACAGGAGAGCGCAGGCTGGGCTGCCTTAGCTCGCTGGGAAGTCAGAGAAAAGGGGGCCTTGGAGACAGGGTCAGGGGGTTAGCCTGGTGCGAGCTGCTGCTGCCCACGCTCCCCTGGTGGCAAGTCTTGTGGGGTCCCTTAGGGTTTAGGAGATGCATGCCTGTGGGGGGTGAAGATGGAAGGAAAGAGGGGGAAGGGAGTGGCAGGGGGGTGCGCCCCAGCGGGAGAGCACTGTGCAGCCTGTTTTGAGGGCTTTATCTCTCTCCTGCAGGTGGGAATTAGGGGAGGTCTCTGGGGAGGATTTCGGCAGAATCTTCATCATCTTCCCAGGTGTGCATTTTCAGGGTCCTGGTCTCTACTGATTGGCCAGTGCCAGGGTCTTTAATCACTGCAGCCAGTCCTGGCGTTGCTCACCTGGTTTTGCTGCTTTTCTGGGCCTGGAGCTGGAAATACAACTGAGGCCTTGATGTGATCTCTAGGGAGGTGACCTGTGTCTGGCTGTTGTGTATAAGCCTCACGCAGACGTATTCTGCTATAGCTCAGCCAGTTTGCTCAGCCGTCTGTCTCAGTTCCCCGATTCCACTTGTCCTGGCTTATGGCCTCTCAGAATGACAGTGGCTCCATGTCCATCGCCTTTGCAGACTCTACCCCAGCCAGCAGCCCCGTTTGCTCATCCTCTGCAGCTTCCCCATCTGGCCTTCAGCAGGTGTTCAGCTGCCTTAGTCCGTTCGGGCTGCTATAGGAGAGAGAATACTTCTGCGTGAAGCTTATACACAATAGACATTGATTTCTTTTTGTTTTGGAGGCTGGAAGCCCAAGATCAGCGGTTCTCAACCTGTGGGTCGGGACCCCTTTGGCGGTCGAACGACCCTTTCACAGGGATCGCCTAAGACCATCCTGCATATCAGATATTTACATTACGATTCATAACAGTAGCAACATTACAGTTATGAAGTAGCAACGAAAATAATTTTATGGTTGGGTCACAACATGAGGAACTGTATTTAAAGGGCCAGAAGGTTGAGAACCACTGCCCTAAGGTCAAGGTCCAGCCATTCCGTGTCTGGTGAGGGCTCTCTTCCTGGTTCACAGATGGCGTCTTCTTGCTGTGTCCTCACAAGGCACAGAGGACAAGGGAACTCTGACAAGGAGAAAATTCTGAGATGTCCTAAATTACATTACAGCAGGCCAGAGGGTGGGGGGAGAGACAAAAAGCGGTTAATCAGTTAACAACGGCAGCAAAACCAGCAACAAACTGCTCTTTTAGTGTATGTTGGAATTAACAAATGAACTTCCAGCCATGGCCAGTATGGATCAGTTGGTTGCGCGTTGTCCTGTGCACTGGGGGGTCGCCGGTTGGATTCCTGGTCAGGGTACATGCCTGGGTTGTGGGCTGGATCGATCCCTAGTCGGGTATGTGTGTGTGTGAGGGGGTGGGGGAGTGGGTTTGCGTTTCTCTATGGAATCAATGTTTCCCTCTCTCTCCCTCTCCTTTCATCTCTCTCTAAAAAAAAAAATAATAATCAATAAAAAAAAAACACATTAAAAAAGAAAACAACTCCCAGGTGGCTATTTCTGAGATTATCTAAAGAGAGAATAGCAAAAAAAAAAAAAAAAAAAAGGGAGAGAGAATAGCCAGGTGGAAGCCCAGGAGCCTCAAGTTCTTGTTTACACATGAGCTTTGCAGACTCTGCTGGCCTATCCCAGAGCCGGCCTGGCCTCAGCTTCTCCCGCCCTCTTTGTCTATAGCCAATGTAAGTCCTTTCAGAGCAGCTTCCATTTTCTTCCCCCAACTTCATGTATAAAAATGCTTGCAGAACGCCTACCCGGCCATGCGCCGGCGGGTGAGACTCTATGCCCCAAGACCAGTCATTTATTGTGCGTGTACTAGCAATGGCCTAGTAAACTCATTCTTTTTAATTTTTAAAATTTTTTTTATTGACTTCAGAGAGGAAGGGAGAGGGAGATGGAAACATCAATGATGACAGAGAATCATTGATTGGCTGTTTCCTGCACGCCCCGCCCTCCCCTCCCACCTCGGGATCCAGCCCACAACCCGAGGATGTGCCCTGACCAGGAATTGAACCATGACCTCCTGGTTTATAGGTTGATGCTCAAGCACTGAGCCACACTGGCCGGGCAGGAAGGCACTTTTGATGTTACTGGTTTGTTATAAAGAATTCAAAATGAACTGCCGGAGGAAGGGGTCCTGAGAGCAGGAGCTCCTGTCCCCGTGAAGTTGGGGTGTCCCACCCTGGATGTGTTTGCCAATTTGGAAGCTCTCCTTGCCTCTTTGTTTCTCGAACCCAATCTCTATCCCAGAGGTTGGAGGTGGCCAGAAAGTTCCCACCCTCCAACCACGTGGTCTTTCTGGAGCCCAGCCCCCATCCTAAAGCAACCTAGGGAACCCCACCCTGTTACCTCTTGAGCATAAACACAGGTGTACTCTACAGGGGTTCCTTGTGAATAACAAAAGATACTCCTATGACTCAGGAAATACCAAGGGTTTTAGGAGCTCCGTGCCAGGAACTGGGGACACAGACCAAGTTATTAAACTACAGGGACCTTACTTGGAAATAGTGTCTTTGCAGATGTAATTAAGGTAAGGATGGAAATGAGTTCAGACTAGATGGAGGGGGTCCTAAATCCAGTGAATGTGTCTTCAGAAAAGACAGAAAAGGACACACAGAGACACCGGAAATGAGGCCGAGTGAAGATGGAGGCCGAGACTGAAGCGAGGCCGCCACAAGCCAAGGAATGGCAGCGCCACCAGAAACGGGAAGGTGGTGGTGGGTGGTATGTCCTCTTCCAGAGCCTTCAGTGTGGCTTTGAAACCCTGCTGACACCTTGATTTCAGACTTCTTGTCTCCTGAATTGTGGGAGAATACATTTCTGTTGTTTTAAGCCACCAAGCCTGTGGTGATTTTTTAAGGCAGTCCTAGACCAAGAGTACTACTATTTCATTAATTTTGTTAATCTTCACCCGAGGACATTTTCCCATTGATTTTTAGAGAGTGGAAGAGACGGGGAGAGACAGAGAGAGAGAGAAACATGTATGTGAGAGAGACACATCAATTTGGCTGCACCTTCACCGGGGCCTGGGATTGAGCCTGCACCCGGGGTACATGCCTTTGACCAGAATTGAACCTGCGACCCTTCAGTCTGCAGGGCAACGCTCTATCCACTGAGCCACACCGGCTAAGGATATTCCATTAATTCTGTGAAAGTTTTATTTTTATTAAACTTAAATGTTTTGTCACTCTAAGCATGGTCACTGTAAGACAGATACTGGCTTTGCTGTGCTGGTGAGGCTTTTGCAACTGACAGTGACCAACAGCCTCCTGCTGAGTGTCCTGTCCTCATACGCCCCCTTCTGGTTGTTCCTCTAAAATCAGGACTTCACCTCAGTGCTGCCTGTGCTTGTGGTAGTTGGGGAGCGCCATTTGGTGACCCAGCACAGATCTGTCTCTCCCAACCATGACCCCCAAGCCCTTTGGCAGCTGGTGGGAATCCGGGTATGCTCCCCCAAATATATCACTTTGGCGTAGGATCATTCTGAGCTGAAGGCAATTGAGAATCAACAGATGCAGGGAGTTCTCTGCCCTCCCCTCCTCTGCCTACAAGCAGGGCATACTTTTCCCTCTGAGAAGGTGACATGAATTTTCCTTTGTGGTGTCTCTGCCGTCTGTATTAGGAAGAGGAAAGGGATTGGTATCACTGGAAATAGAGAGCCAGCACTGAGCTGAGTCTGCATCAACAAACCCTACTATAATCGCCTTTACATTTCTTTAGTCCCCCCCCTTATTTCCTAGTCATTTCCCCACAATGTATAGTCCCTTGAAGCTCAAATCCCCTTTCCTTTGTTTCAAATGATATAGGAAGTCCCTGAGTCGAAATGCTTCTTTGAATTCCACTTCTTTTCTGTGACTTTCCTTTTCTGTAAGTATTACTAAAAACTGTGTGCCTTTTCTCCTGTTAATCTGCCGTTTGTTAGTTTAATTCGCGGGCCTCAGTCACGGAACCTAAGAGGGTAGATGGAAATGTTGCCTCCTTGACACAGCAGAGGGTCCCATTTCACAGATAGGACGTTAAGAGTCCGAGTAGCAGCAATTGGAGGTGGTGGGTTGCAGGGAGGGGGTAGAATTCCTTCAAGCCTGAAGGACCTGTCTGAAATGGAGCCTGGATCTCTTGGCTGTTTGTGCCCCCGAAAGGGAGCTGCCCAGGGCATCTGCACAGCATCCCTGGCCCTCAGAGCCCGTTTCCTTGTTCCTTCTTCAGGTTTCCAGGCGAGGTGGCTCAGGCCAGGTACTGAGATGTGAGACCAGGGCGTGAGGCGAGTCCTCCTCTGCCTCTTCATTCCCTGATCCCTCCTCCCTCCACCTGTGTCTACTGGGCAACTTACACTCACTCCTGCTGAAGGTGTGGGCTGTGGAGGCCTGGCGTCCAGACTCCTGGCACTCAGCTACAAGCTTGGCCTCTGGGTCCCGGGGTGGGGTGGGGGTGGGGCTCCAACAGTGGGCCTCATTCTCTGGCAAACAGATGGCCATAGCTTCCTGGCTCTGGATAGAATTGCATGCATCCTCCCACCCCACCCCTGCACCTCGAGGGGGACCTCTGACAGGGATCAGCGTTGGCCTTCGCTGACAGCTGGTCTGGAAGTCTGTGGGGGTTACGATTGGTCAAGTTGTCTGGGTAGGAAGTTAAAACCCTCTCTCTCACTTTTTAAAAAAATGTATTTTTATTGATGTCAGAGAGGAAGGGAGAGGGAGAGAGAGATAGGAACATCAATAAGATTGACCGGCTGCCTCCTGCACACCCCTTTCTGGGGATTGAGCCCACAACCCAGGCATGTGGCCTTGACCAGAATCAAACCCGGGGCCCTTCAGTCTCCAGGCTGATGCTCTATCCACTGAGCAAACTGGCTAGGGCTAAAACCCTCTCTTGAATGTAAATGGTAATTGAAAAAAGAAAACAAACAAACACCCCCACCTCTCTAGTGTCTTATTGGGCAGCTGGCAAGGACCTGCTTAGCATCTTTGGCCTAGCGCAGCCGTGGGCAAACTACGGCCCATTTGAAATGAATAAAACTAAAAAAAAAAAAAGACCGTACCCTTTTATGTAATGATGTTTACTTTGAATTTATATTAGTTCACACAAACACTCCATCCATGCTTTTGTTCCGGCCCTCCGGGCCAGTTTAAGAACCCATTGTGGCCCTCGAGTCAAAAAGTTTGCCCACCCCTGAATTAGCTCAAAGAAATTTGTATTGAGGAAAATATAGCTCTTAATAAGCTCTTAAGACATGTGTCTTAGAAGTGGTCAAAGTCATAGACCCAGATCCTATTGCCAGACGTAATTTAACTCTGATTATTCAGGAAAAGGACTGAAAGCTTATAGAAAATGTCTAGCAGAAGAAGAGTGATTTTTACAGACCCATCCAAGATTCTAATGTGCAGCCAAGGTTGAGAACCACTGGCCTAGGCTTTCCTGGGCCTGCTCAGGAGGCAGCTGGAATCACTGGCGCGCTGGCCACCGAGCTGGGACCCAGGTGGTGCTTGTGTGCCGAGCTCTCTGGAACCACAGCTGATGCTGAAGAGCTCGGCTCGCCTTCTTACCCACTTCCACAGCACCTGCTTCCACGGTTCCCCCCAAAACCCCGGGGGGACACTTTGCAGAGGGTTAAAGACCACTCAGTCCATAAGCCCTTTGATTCAACTTTTTATTTTTTTTTTTCTTTTTGAATGTCATGCAATAATTCACAGTCCCAAGCCCACAGTTTTCAAACAAGGTAGGAAAAAGGCAAAAAGAAGCAAAGGAAATCGGTGGTGTGGTCTTTTTTTTTCTTTTGTTATTTCAAGCAGGACCAAATGTCAGAAAAAATGCTTCTTTTCTCAATCATTAATTTTTTTGTCCTTTTTAAAATTGTTTATTTTTTTTTTTAAATCGATTTCTGCAGGCAGTAATAGTAGGGTTTGGTATAACCAGCAAGCACTCCTGTGTGTGTCTGAGCACGTGTGTGGGGTCTGAGCTGTCTGGCCGAGGTCTGTGTGGGTCGCTGGGTTTCGGTGTCTCAGCCACACACGGGCCACCAGCTCGCGTTCACCAGGGGAAGAAGGAAAGGTTCAATTGAGATGATAAAACTCATCAATAGAAGCGATTTTTTTTCTCCCCGTTTTTCTTTTTAAAAATGTTTTTTTTTTTTTTTAAATTTCCATGTTCCCCAAGGTTCTCCAA